CCCGGGGGGGTTGATCTGTCCTTGGCCGGTAGCTCAGAGCGGGAGGTCAAGCCAAGCTGGGCTCTTCCAGTCTTGCAGAGAGTGGAATGCTGGGGGAGCTGGAGAGGGGACGTTGAAGGATGCGGGATTTAGCACAGGCAGAGCACGGTGATGGGACACCCGGGTGTGCCACGTGTCCCTGGTGCCCCCAGCTCTTGCCTTACTGCTCCAGAGCAGCTTCCCCAGCAGGCGGGGAGCAGGGCTGGGCGAAAGAGCAGCTTTCCTTGGGGCTGGGTGTCTGGGATCATCGTAGCGTTTCCCATCCTGCAGCCCGTCAGTGGGAGGCCCAAGTGCTCCGCAATTATGGCTCGACGGTGCATTTCCAGCCTGCCGGGTGTCCTGAGCAGGGGATTTCATCCACTGATCCACCTCTCATTGAGAGCCCCTCAGGGGCCTTTTGAGAAGTGCTTTGACTGAAAGGTGGAGTGATTTGTCTAAACTAGTCCCTCTTTTCTGTGTGCATATATGTATGTGCAGCGCTCTGGGCTCTGGCTGACCTTCAATTAATCTCTGTCACAAAACCGCCTGGTTGCGGGAAGCAGTGAGCCGTGCGCTCGGCCCCGGGGCAGCGGGACATGGAGAGGGCTCCTGCTCACCCTCCCCAGCTTCAGCCCGTCGAGCTCCTTGCTCGTCCCTGTTTGTAACATCCCGAAGCAGCTGTGGAGGGAACCGTTTGTGAGGGAGAGAGCCTGGGCAGGTTTTGCTCGGGGATGCTCGGTGAAGTCCAGCTCAGCACATGGACATGTAGCAGGTCGGGCTGCCAGGCCAAGGGGGAAGGTGAGGAGCTGCAGGTGTGGGGATGCTCAGGAGATGATGAGTAGGTCAGGATTGGGCTGGAGGGGGTCGGAGAGGCTCAGCTGCCCAGCTTGTGTTTGTTATCCAGGCTGGGTTCGCCTCCTTGCCAAGGGGGCTTGGTCAGGGACCACGACAGGGAGCTAGGCTGGCTCCAGGTCCTGGGTGAGAAGAACCCATCCTGCTCCTGCCCTATGCTGCAGGGCTGCAACCACAGGAGCAGGCTGAAGGGAGAAAAGGGAGAGGGAAGGGATGCTCATCCGACAGCATCTGGTCCTTACACTTGCTGTGTTGCTGTGGCCCGAGCAGTTGCATCACTTGGAGGCATCAGTGAAATGTTTCAGCATCTACACTGGGGACAGAGAGCCCACACAAGGGTCTGAGCTCTGGGGCTCTCTTAGAGGGAAGCTACAGCTGAGAGTTTCTGCATCTCGAGGGTACCTGGGATGGGGACAGACAAGAATGGTCTGGCTCAGCCACGGTGGCATCAGCCTTTTGGTGACCATCAAGATGTGGGGTTGTGTTGCTTGCTGCAATATAACTGTCCAGTGACACAGGGAAGGGACACCCCAACATTAACCCCCGTGTTCCCTGCTGAGAGGGCCACACGGTCATTGACACCGTGATGTCCTTCCTCTGGACACATCAGAGCTGCTGGAGGCAGGTACCACCCTTTGGTCCTTGTCCCCTGCTCCATCTTGTCCTTTCTCCCAGATGGAGCCAGGGGAGGTGACGACAGTCCTCAACAACGAGCTGGAGGTCCCGGTCAGCAGCGGCCCCAGTGGGGACTTTGAGATCCGGGAGGAGGAAGAGACGACACGTCCCGAGCTCGGTAACGAGGTGATGGCTGTGGTGACGCTGCCAGCGGGACCCGGGCTGGGCAAGAACGCGGAGCCGGGGTTGATCGACAACACGATAGACTCTGGGAATTCGGCAGCTCAGCTCCCCCAGAAGAACATCCTGGAGAGGAAAGAAGTGTTGATAGGTGAGACTGGAGGCCGTGGGATTGCGGGGGAAGAGCTGGCGTGGTCGGAGGGGGACAGACAGCTGGGCTGTCCGTGCCCTAGAAGAGGGGATGATCTTTGGCAGGGCATTGGGTTGAGCCTGGGATAACCCACTCAGAGCTGTGCACAATTTGCTTTTGCTAAGGAGGCAGGAAAAACCCAGGATGTTAGTAGAAGGGTGTGCGGCAGTGCTGGCTGAATACCCCTCGACCACCTCTGACTGCAGGGAAGGAGAGAGGTGGCCTGGGAGGGCCACTTGTCCCAGCCAGAGGGACATCAGAGATGGGGTAGAGGTGTGAGTGCCAGCTAAAGGGAGAGGGAGGCGATGGCACAGCAAAGCAGGGTGGCTGTCAGCTGAGTGTGGTGGATGCCGACAGGCACCCGGACGAGCAGCTTTTTGGGAGACTTTCTGCACCCTCCTTGGCATGTTCGGGACCCTCTTGCTGTGTCTGGGCTGCCTCAGCCCAGCCCGTTGCCCTCCGTGCACCACAGATGCCTTCGGGTCCTGCCCGCCCTGCAGCATCGCTGCGCTTGGGAGCTGCTTGAAGCTTCTGGAACCACGCGGTTGCATTAGCTCCTCACCTCTATTTTCAGTTTTTTTAACCGTAGATTTCAGGAGGGTTGCTCACAAACCGGGCTGGAATCCCGAGTGATCCGCTCGGCCCTGGATCTGTTTGCGCGGAGCTGGGGCTGCGGGGCGGCGCTGACGGCCGTGCCGCTTCTCTGTGTTGCAGCGGTGATCGTGGGCGGTGTGGTGGGAGCCTTCTTCGCTGCCTTTCTGGTCATGCTGCTCATCTACCGGATGAAGAAGAAGGACGAGGGCAGTTACACGCTGGAGGAGCCCAAGCAAGCCACCGTGACGTACCAGAAGCCGGACAAGCAGGAGGAGTTCTACGCGTAGAAGGAGAGCCCGGCGTGCCTCGTGCTCCCTCCCCGCTCCAAACTTACCCTCCTCCTCTACTTCATCCAGTCTCTCTCTTTCTCTCTCTCTGTCTTTCTCTCTCTCTTTTTTGGATCAGACTGTGAATTTAAAAAGCGAAACCCGCAACAGCTGAAGGAGAAAACGCA